GTACCCAGGGATATCCTGCTTAGTGCCTCATGCAACAGTAGCACAGCTAGAAGAAGGAGCCAGATGGACTGTCATGAGAAGACAAGCTGATGCATGGGGTGTACCACTACCAAATTGAAGAAGTGCAAGCTTTGTAAAACAACCTCAGAGCTTGTGCAGTACATCACACCAGGGACTAGATGGCAGATACCTCCGATGGTGGTTGAGAACAGCCAAGCCAAGATCCCGTGGGACTTGAACTCATACTTTTGTCTGTTTTGTTATATCTGTGCCTGTCGCAAAATCACACATTTGTAACTTAGTAAAAAAAAAACATTTTTGGGGTATTTTTTTCTTCTCCACAGGAGGATGGAGGAGATCCTACTTCTTCTGAGTCGCATTCGCCCCAAGATTTCTTGGAGCAAACGGCTTCTCTGGATGGCGCTGATGGTTTTTCTGGTGATGTGTCTCGTTATCAGCATTTTCACATTCTTCTCTGGGTACAACAAGCGCGATGACACATAAGAGCATAAGCACTTTAATAAGAACCAAAGAATTGCTTCACAGACACTCACGTCTCAGTCAATTTACTCCATAGTGGAATATAGCTGAATGCAGTTAACAAAGAGTTTTCAGCAGCCTTATGTATAAAGTTTGTTACAGTTACTACTTGTTCACTTCTACTGAGGGACCAATTACAATTGTGGTACATGTTAAGATGATAAAAATGGCACTTTGGATATCAAGTGCTGGCGTAAAATGTATCTTACACATTAATCTGCAACCATGTAAAAGTATAACGTATTTCTCAGGTCCAATAGATTTTTTTTTCTTTTGAATGACCTTGAGTACCAGCTGATACATAGAAGATATGGAATATGTATGTTATGGTTATTTATATAAAGTGTATTTAAATATGTTCAATTCTGAAACATTGTGAAAAATAAAATCAAGTTACTGCTGTTCTATTTGGCAAGATATTTGCACATTTGGATTATTTTGTAGGTTTTTAAAAATCGGGATCTGTCTGGTTTCTTGCTCAAATCTGTACTAAAATTGAGCCACTAAGAATGAGAGTGGGCCAACTCCATTTTTGTCATTTAGCAATAAAACTGATTTCTATTTTGACAGTTTATCAATCGAACTTCACTTTTGTTGCACAATGAATCAGGGAAGGCAATGAATGAAATAATGTAATACCCTATACAGATTTTAAAAAAATGAAACTAAACCTTGATTTAGATCAGTATTCAATCTGAAAGTGATGCCTTTTCTGTATTCTGTTCTGTACTTCAATTAAAAATTGCAAACATGGACTTAGCCCAGTCTACAACGTAGTTCGCAGTGGCTCAATTACAAATTGTCTTCACATTTAATAATGTTCGGATATTGCAAGCATTTTTTTGCCAACCGCCTTTTGTTAAACAAACCATTTGTATTGATCTTGATAGTTGTGCATTTGTTATTATATGACGAGGCCATTTTGCATATACTGTATATTCACAGTCAGAATGGCTTTCAGAGAAAAAACAAATACAACGTGAAAATGAGTTTGACACCCCATAAGTGGTCAAATTCGGAGTTCAACCCCAACTTTGTGCGGGTCATTCCTTCAACGTATGTGACATTACAAAAGACTTCTATCGAGCACATTCTAACATAAACCCACTTATGACTACAAAGCACTTAATTCCAGCTGTAGCTATAAAATGCTACAACGTGACAGCGTCCCTCTGTGTCTGTCAATTGTGTACAAAGCACAAGTAGTTTTGCTTTATTTTAGTTTTCTTAATGATGGTTATTATTATACGTATATGACATTCAGGAATGTTAAAATGTTACTTAAAATATTACCCGTATAGTGGTGCCTTGAGATACAAGTATTTGAATTCATTCTGTGACCACCCTTATAACTCAAAACACTTGCGTCTCGAATAATCTTTCCCCATTGAAATGAATGGAAATTACATTTTCATCTTCCCTAAAAGAACACAACAAAACAGTTTTTGATGATCAGATATTAAGAGCTGATATGGGCCAGTTAAAGCTGTCAGTCAATCGGTCGGGCCCTTGTAATATTGTTTTTCGCAGAGGATAAAGAATACATGCCTATTCGCTTTGTAAAATTGTATGTCGACGTGTGTTGCTGTACAGCTTGTGTTCCAGTACCTGTTGCTTCAAGGGTTATTATAACACCTCTACTATTAATGCTATTCGTTAGGATGTCTGTCATATTTAGCATTGCTTGTTAGCATCAAGCTAAGCTGATTTTCCTGAGGCAAAGCTATGTGGTTTTAAATACGGAGTTGTGGTCACTTGTATTTCAAGGCACTACTGCACTGAATGAAGGTTTTATGACAGTGATAGATCTAAGCCTTAACAAATGATGTTACTTTCCATTATTTTTAATGGTCAAAATGCTTCGAAATTAGGACAATTTAAAAGTCAGTCAGGAAGGGCTTGTTTTAGACTTTGCAGGTTCCATTGTGGTTTGCAGAGTGCAATACGTTTTGCAATCAATTAGTCATTTGTGCCATTTTGGATTGTGTCCTGAAAATGTTGCACACTGTTTATTTTTGACTGTCTTTACACGTGTGCCTATTTGTGGTGTCAACTCCTTGCAGGGATTTGCTCTGCCACTTCACCTTGAAATAAAGGTTTGTCAAATCGATCAATTACACCGTCCGTTTTATTGAGAAATGTGATTATGATGTGAATAGAATGCTTGCAGCTCACACACACATGGTGTATTGTTAGTGGAATAAGCAGGCAAGCAGCTGGGGCTGCAGGATGTTATTGTGCTTAGCCATGAAATCGTGCTCCAGATAACATTCTGTAAAATGGCAGGGTCAGTTGATGAATTCATGCTACAAACAATACAAAAATCAGGACTGTCAGCGAAAGTAAGACGAGACAGGAGGGGCAAAGTGGAGGGCATATGAGGACATGTATACTGTAAATCTTGATTTAAAAATCCTGGAATAAACATATTTGGGTGAAAATCGCATAAACTTGTCATCGGAGGTCCAAGCTAAGAGCTTGTTAAGTTTAACCTCAAGAGTATATTTTATTTTACTTCAAAGATTTCCCCTCCCTCTGAAATTGTATTATCACTTTGCAGCGAGACGAAGCAAGATACTGTATCTGTGGATGCAGCGGGGTGCCAATTGCATGACAGGCAGATGAGACCTGCCAGGAAAAAAAATCACAGTAATGTCATGGTTTGCTAACAATGCTTCTTCAAGCTTTGTGAGCACATTTCTTTCTAGAAAATGTCTGTGCAGGTATCAATTAGGTGTGCACCGATCGATCTTCCGGGATTGGTATCGGCGCAGATTTTTTTTCATTGTGGAGATCGGTGATCCGCCGATCCCTTGAAATAAGACCGATCTTGTCCACCGTTCTCAACTCCCTCCCCAGTGTTATGAAGAAGTCGACCACTGTCCTCTTCTGCTTTGAGATGACGAAAAGGCTTCTCATTTTTACTCAGACAACTACTTCATGTACAGATAGTATTTATTTAATATTTAAATAAAAAATAAAAGACAGTTTTATGCTTCCTTATATTTAGTCCCGATCTTGGAACTACTGTTACTTTTAACTTAGCTTCCATGGTGTTTGACGACAAATAAAGTGGGGGGAAAAAAAACTCACTGGGTGACCTGAGTAGAAAATGTTGCTGGTGAAGGATCGACCACAAGAGTTCTGTGCCTGCGTCATTTCCCGTGTTGCCGTGACATGCGGGGAGGTGTTTTTGTGGAAGCAGGATCATGGGAGGATCCTGAGATCACGGGCATGTTCATGGACTTTGGAAAGCTCCCACGGGAGGAAATCATTTGGACCATACGCATAATGTCAAGTGTCAGTCACACTGAATGTGTTATTGTGGGACAGTCTGTGAAACCTCATGTATTTTTCATGAGTACTGTTGCACGTGCCCTAGATTTGTGTTTTTAACTGCTTTACTGGAATGTTACAGCAGTCAGGATTGAAGCAACCAGTCCCGTATTGTTCACTGCCTGGGAGCAGTGTCGTTCGCAGAAAACTATTTTGTCTGCCTCTCTGCATAGCTTCTGTTTGCGATGTTAATTTCCTTTGTTATTTGGTTTCGGGCGAGTTTGTACAGTGCCCGATCTTCACTTCTGAAGGCAGCCTCTTTCGCTTTTCGAAGTTGCCTGAGTTTGGCAGTGAACCATGGCTTGTTATTGTTGAAGGAGCGGAAAGACTTTGTTGGTACACACATGTTCTCACAGAAACTGATGTATGATGTTACAGTGTCTTGTGTATTCGTCCAGGCTGCCAGTTTGAAGTTTCAAAGACGCCCCAGTCAGTGCAGTCCGATCATTCTTGCAATGCCAGCTTTGCTTCATCGATCCACCTCTCTGTCACAGTCTTGACAACCGGTTATACACATTTGAGAGTATTTAGGGATGAAGTGTATTAAACAGTGGTCAGAAAAGCCCAGTGGTGCATGGGCAGCAGATCGGTTTGAATCTTTAAACGTGGTATAGCAATCACCGTGTTGCTTATGTATGGCAAGTTCATGGTTAAGTTGTGCTCGATTAACCCTTTCAGGGACAGTGGTTACTACAGTGGACAGCTTATCAGGTTATCAGGTTACAGGGTGCATTAAAAGGGTTCAAATCACCCAAAACGGTAAGGGGTGACTCTGGATGCTTTAGCTCGAGTTTGTTTACTTGGTCAGCCAGCGTTTGTAGCACTGTGTTCACATTAGCTTGCGTTGGGATGTAAACACCCGTGAGTATGAAGGAGGAGAACTCACGTGGTGAGCAGAATGGCTTCCAGTTGAGAAACAGCGACTCCAAGTCCAGGCTGCAGCGTGCGTTGAGCTTCTTTTGCCTGCTGTTGAATTTCAGTGTCCTTTCAATATGTTTTATCTGCTGGTCTCGTGGGCCTTACGCTCAATCCTTTGACCTGACTTCCCACTTCCCCTTCCTTTCCGTTCTGGCAATGGGCAAAGAGTCCACACAGCCCAATGAGAGCAAATCTCCTCTATTTAACCCTGACGATTTGGCTGGGACTCACACAGAGTGCTCAACACTGTACACGCATTCATTCGTCTCAACCGCCAGAAGCCATGAAGAGCGTTTTGCTTTCTGTCGCTGTAGCGCTGTCGATCACGACGGCCTTCTCTCAGGAGACAGTCACAATCAACCTGAGAGGTAAAGCTTTTCCTATTTCATACGGTCTTTGCGCTTCCAAAAGTGACATTGCGTATGCTGTTGACAGTTTTTCCGGCAAAGAGCATTGCCGGAGTGATCCAACTCAGCTTTCTGAATGACCAAAACCAGCCCGAGTACGGCTTCAATGTCACCGAAGCGCGAGACATTTGCACTAATCTTGGACTCAACCTCGCCTCCAAAGACCAAGTCACCGAAGCCCTCAATAGGGGTTTCGAAACATGCAGGTCAGACCAAAACACACACATAGTGAAATTTAACCAAGAAAAATGCATATTCTTTCAGGATTCTTTTTTTTACTTCAGGTTTGGCTGGATTGATGAGCATTATGCAGTCGTCCCCCGCATCAAGGCGCTTGCGATCTGCGGGCAAAACCAGACCGGCTTGGTCTCGTGGCGAGCTGCACTGGACAAAAAGTTTGATGTCTTTTGCTTTAACCAATCAGGTAGGATTTATTTGTTATTTAAGAGTGCACAGAGCATCGTTTAACATCATAAAAATAAGAATCCAGCATCATGAAGGGCTTTAATATGGATTATTTTAATTTTACAATTACCTGCGGGTCAAGATCAGGGGATGTGGTTAATATTTGTCAGTTGCGGGCATGAGAAGCTCTTTGAAACTTTTTGTGCTTAAGGGGTATATAAATAAATGTGACTTGACTTAAAATATTCACATGCTTTCCCATTTGATGTTTATTATTGTGGTTGTTTGACACAAAAATGTCAGTTTTTTTTTTTTGGTAATGTTAACTGCTCCCATGCAGTTGTATTTTCTATGTTCAACAAAAAAAAAAGGCTTAAAGAGATGCCACATGTAACTGGTTGACAACTAAAATTCATATTAAAGTAAAAGTAAAGTAAAATAATACTTCCAAGTCAACAGACTTGGAAGTATTATTTTATTATCAGCCAGTTCTATTCCAGGGTATGCTTTTTTTTTTCTTTTCAGATTATTTTGCAATTTTTTTCTATGCGTATAATACAATAAATATAGTTGTGCAGACAAGAATAGACAAAAAAAAAATATTGGTGAAACTGCCCTGCTTTAAATGACGTTATTAAGACTTTAGTAACCAAAACATTCAAATCAGTTCTCTGTATGAGGCAGCACAACAATGCAAATTGCAACCACAAGAATAAACATGTTGTTAAACAGTTGCAGCAAAATGGAACATCGCTTTCTTTTTCAGGGCAGAGTTGTCGAAACACACGTGCTATTTTTTTTCATTTCATTTTTTCAAACACCCAAAATTGAACCAAATACTGAATACATTTCTTAACAATGTAATTTCAGAAGTAGAATTGTATGAGCAGCTCAACTGAGGATGGACGCAATCGGATCGCTGCCCAAGCATCGTAGTTTTATTGAACTTTTAAGTTCAATGCATTCAACTTTCAAGGAATGTTTGTTTTTGAATAATTGTTTAGCTGCAGTTTTATTTCACTTTTATGTGCAACGCAATTTAATTTTATTTCCTATACTCAGTGCCAATGTTCATACGGTGATCTAAAATAATAAATTTACATTTTCGGCAATACGATTCCTGTCTCGCTTTTTAGGTGGTTTAGGCAGTACATTTTGGGCAAATTTTGACTGACTTAGATCATTTTAGGAAGTTGTCCCTATATAAATTTGAACCTTAATATCACGTGCAATACTGATTTGTTTTGCTAATTCAAAACTAAAATCATATGTATTACCGCATCTCTATCATTTGACAACCATAACAAAAGTCTGAACATTACTATCGTGATATGTACTTTATGTAATACATCTCTCCTTGTATTTTTGCCATATACAGATTACACAGCTCAACCCGAGGAAGAAATGACGACCATGATTTCCAAGTTCGCTGATGCCCCAGGTCCTACCGCCTCTCTCTTTATTTTCAATCTTTCTTTGACCTCCGACCTCACATTGCTGGACAGTCTAGATGGGGCACAGCTCGCCCGTTTAGCCGGCGGTGAACAGAGCTCTGGGAAAGGTTTGTCACTTGTGTCCATTACACAAAACTCATGATTGTTAAGTCCCGCATGGGACCAATGTACCTGTCATGTGTCATTGTTCCAGGAAAAGTGGTGCTCATCACCTCCGCATGTGCTGTTCTCCTCGTTGCCATAGCCGTCCTTGCATACATGAAAGTGTAAGTTGCCTTATCATCGGGCAATCATTTTTCAGCTTAGTCTCTAGAAGTACTAAATAGCGGAAGTCCACAAGTAATTGACTCAACCAACTAAAAGAGTTTGTGATTGTCCATAGAAGCCACAAAATGGTGATCACTACTTTAATCTAAACCAGGGGTGTCAAACTCATTTCACATTGTGGGCCACATACGGACTCGGTAGATGTCAAGTGGGCCGGACCATTAACATTATACCATACTCTGCTAGAAATAACCAAAATATCATGACTTTCCTTTGTTTTGGTATAAAGAAGCATTGGCGCATTGATACCGTCTGATGTGTTGCGTCTGTCTCAGAGTCAGACTGAGACTGCTGTTTTCTTCTTTGATCAAAACAATGTTGTCTTCTACTCTGATGAAAACAGTATCCCCCTAGTGGATAATCCATGAAGTGCAGCTTATGAAAAATATTCATTCCATGTCTTTAATGTATTTTTTCACTTTTAAATTATCCTGCGGGCCTGATCGAACCTCCTTGGGGGCCGTTTTCGGCCCGCGGGCCGTATGTTTGAAACCCCTGATCTAACCGAAGGTCTTCAATCCACTTCAGTAGACTACGTTTAACTGCATTGTCTTTGTCAAATCAAGAGATACATAACTTAAATTGAGTGACATCTTGTGAAGCCTGCCGATGCCAGACACTGATACTTCAGTAAAAAAATTCAGACATCAAGTCAGTAGTTGGCATTAAAGCGCAGCAGTTTGACACAAAAAGAAAGAAGGAAAGAAAGAAAGCTTTGTTCAAAATTAGCTGTCATTGTTTTAAAATTTCTGTACCAAAAGCATGAGGAATATCTCAGCATCGGTGAGTACTTGGGCATTTTGGTACCACATGTAGAGCTTTGCCGCCATCTTGGTGTTTCATTAAATACACTACATGTTGAATAGTGTTGCATCTGTAGGCTTATAAACCTGTTTCAGTTTTCAGTTACTATAATACAATGACTGTATTTGCTATTGGTATCAGGCATTCAATGTGACGGTGTATTTCTGAACAGGAAAAGGCGCTTCCAGAGAGCTGACGTGACTCAGGAGCGTGGAGACATCGTCATTGCAAGTTAAAATGATCACTTACAAGATATAACCTCTCTGATTTCATCTTTAATGTGTTAGAGTGACACACATCTGATTTTGCACCGTGCATATTGTTTTATGTCTATTGTTAAAGGCAGCAGCTTTTTGGAAGGATGTACAGTAAATAGGTAGCCTCTCCATAACAATCACAATACTTGTTTGCATCAGTTTGATATTGCAAGTAAATATGAGTAAATGAGACTTTAAAGACATCGTTTGTGTGTAATCACATTGGTACAAACTAAAATTCTTGGCAAAAGCTTCCGCAACAGCTTTCTTGTGTTTTGTGTAAACGGCTCTCACACATACCCCCATCACACAAAACAGTCTGTAGTGCAAATGTTTATACAGTGTGGCTTTATGTGAAGATGGAGTGTTTGCCCTTGCTATCGTGGTTCTTTACGCCTATGATGAAATTAATCATACAAGACATTTTCCCTCTTGTCTGCTTGGTGAATAGTTCCTATTCAAGGTTGCATTCTGTTACAGCACATTTGGTTTCTCTCCTACACACTCTCAAAGTCAAGAACAATAATGTACTGTTAATCCTAAGGGTCCAATATGAGACGCTGTTGTAAATTTAATACTACATACCTAAATTACCCAAATACCGAAATGCTCTCATACACACTATGGAAATGCTCCCAAATGTACAGTTCTGAATTTTACAGATTGATCACTGGGCATAAGCGAACCAGGCAGTCGCCAAGGGCGCTATCTGCTGGAAGGAGGCGCCAAAAGGCTTTGAAACAAAAACTGATCGTCATACTTTCCAACTTCCCGATTCAGACTCCCGAATTTCAAGCCTATCTCCTGCAGGTCCCAATCAGCAATTCCTCCCGCTGATCTCACCATTTTACAGTGAAGTCAACAGTTGACATCGTGGAGGAATGTCAACTGTCCCCCTCTTTCCTGGGAGAAGTGGGTGAAGGGGTTTGCTTGCTCGGACTCACTGTTAGCCAAGCATCCAGCGACAACTCATTTCTCTAATGATTCCTCTGGCAAGTTTCCCCCCCACTTGTTTTTTTTACATGACGCCCCAACTTCAAAAATGACATCCTCCTGGTCAATGACACTGGAGACCATGTGTGTCTGGTTTTGTTACATTTAACTGCAGTGTTTGATCCGGTGGATCACAGTATTCTGTTTGCAAGCACTAGGTAGGCATTAGTGGTAGTGCCCTTGAATGGTTTAGATCCTATTTGGCGAACAGATCTTTTTGTCTGTGATTGGCTGGCAACCAGTTCAGGGTGTCCCCCACCTACTGCCCGAAGACTGCTGGCATAGGCGCCAGTACCCCCCACGACCCTTGTGAGGATAAAGCGGATCGGAAAATGGATGGATGGATCTTTTTGTGTTAAATTTGGTTGTTCTGAGTCCCACACTGCCTCACTGTCATATGGTGTTCCGCAGGGTTCAATTGTGGGGCTTCTGCTTTCTTCATCATATCTGCTCCCTTTGGGTTCCATCTTAAGGAAACATGGTATTTTTTTCCACTGCTATGTGGTCAGATGTATGTACAGATACTTTGAAAAAGTAATTAATGCCTTCATCACATCTCGGCTGGATTACTGTAATGCAATTTAGTTTGCCAGCCAATCCTCCATCAAGCGTCTCCAGTTGGTGCAAAATGCTACTCCTCACCTCTTGACTGGTACACGAAAGAGGGAGCACATAATTCCTACTCTGGTTCCCTTCACTGGCGTCCTGTACATTTTAAGAGTTCTTTATAAGATTCTATTTGTTTTCAAATCTTTAAATCGCCCCGCCCCACCTTACATCTTTCCTGAGCTCCTCCACCCCTAATCTACTGCCCGGTACCTCAGGTCTGGGGACCAGACGCTATTAGCGGTACTGAGGACTAGGCGAAGGCTCAGAGGAGATTGAGACTTTTCTGTTCTCGGTCCCTGTCTTTGTAATGACCTACACCTAGATGTGAGACAAGCCGCCAAATTTGTAATGTGTGTGAAAGAATTTTATAGGTGTGTGAGAGCATTTCAGTGTGTGTGTGTGTGTGTGTGTGTGTGTGTGTGTGTGTGTGTGCGTGTGTGTGTGTGTGTGTGTGTGTGTGTGTGTGTGTGTGTGTGTGTGTGCGTGCGTGTGTGTATGAGTATTTAGTAATCCCAAATAATGTCCCTTATTCACGCAAGAGAATTTATGGCTTCTGACTTGACAGCGTCCACAAGGAAACTGAGTTCATTGCACAGAGTTTCATGTCGGTAGGCCATGCGGATCTGAGCCACGTTGGTGCGGCGAATGTCATTTCCTTCGGGTCCATCTTTCAAGTAATCCACCCCCAAAAAGTGTTTCTTGTCCTGGAAATTAAAATACCAAATGATCACTCCTCTGGCACCCGAGTCAACAGCTTATGGTCTACTGCAAAGTCATAGAAAATCGGTAGGTATTTTAAAGTAAAATAGAATGCAATCAGCCTTTATTACTACCGTAATGGGGAAATTCTGGTTTTACGGTCGTGGCAGAGAAGAATGCTAATATTTTGACTCTCTGGGCTCTAAGCTGGTCTTTTGTGTTCACCTTGCTTCTTTTTTCATCTAACCGCAAAATTAAATGTAAAGTATGGCAATATTTACAATCGTATGCAATGGGAATGAGTGGAATGAGCAGCAATGCATGTACAGTCCTTATGCACAAATAATACATTTGCAAATACATGTATGAATGCCTAATAAGTTATTTGCCGTATACTGTTCATACAAAAGTGAATGTGAACAACAAGAACAGCCAGCATCATTACAGCTAACAAAACAAGGTAAAACTCTGATTTAATTTCCCTATTATCACAACAGCCAACTTTCATTTTGTAAATTTTTTCCAATTTATTCCCATAAATTACTGTTAATAATCGTTTCCAAGTTAGAAAATTCCCATAATTTTGCAACCCTGCGTGGCATAGGTGTCAAAGTCAAGGCCTGAGGGCCAGATCGACTCCATGTTTTTATCTAAAATACCCAATTACTAATTGTCTTTACTTTTAAAAACACTGAGCTATTGAAGGCATATTTTGTTACAAAAATGAGTTTGACCCACCTGCTACCGAATACAACCTGAAACTGTACCTGGTCAGAGAGTCCACATTGCAGCACGCTGTTTCTAGCTATTTCACACACATCACACGTGCTGAGCTTCCACAGCTGAGCTGCTATTGCGTATTCCTCCATCAGTGGCTCCTGTCAACACAGGAAGCTCAGTCTTAGTAGTTGTAGATTCTTGTGAAATAATGACATTATACAGTTCTAATAGTTGTCATCGAGCGCCCCACTAGCAGTACAAATAGCGCAAATATGTCAGCCAATCAACAAATGTCAATCTTCCGTAGTTTTATTCCAGTGACTTGAGTCACTGTGAAGTGAAATGCAGGCCTGAACCCATACAAACAATTACTGCGGTGTTACCTTAGTGTAGTGGAACTGCATTGGGTCGTCTGTAGACAAGGACACGCAGAGACCTTTGTGCAGGAACTCTCGCAGAGGGTTTTTCGAGTATTCCAAGAACAGGCTGTTGTTACTCAATGGAGACATCGCAATGGGCACTTGGGCCAAGTAGTACAGATACTGAAGCACGGGGCTCTAGAAGTGGGCCATAAAAACAAATGCGCTGTTTTATGTATTATAAAATGGGGCAAGTTAATTTGTGTTGATAGCTGTTGCGCAAATTCCAAATCTAGATTGTTAAAGTTGTTTATTTTAGTCAGTTTGCTATGCTGCAGTGGTGACCGGTCAATGGAGGGCGCTAGGGCACTCTGCCACCACTGGCGGTGGTCACCATCTTTGCTTTTTATGAAAACGAAGAGAAAGATACAAATTTTGACAGTGAAATAATATTTTGAATTGTGTTTATCTATTTTATGAGTTGCATGATGAAAACTAGATAATCACTATAATGACTAAAGTTGTTTTGCTGTTGTTTGAAATCATGACGCGCTTCAGGTCTTGGGTGCGCATATCTTCACCCACTGACACCCATTAAATGGTGGACATGCGTAGTACTTCCTCTTCAATGCAATGGATAAGGCCAAGGTGGGGTACTGAATTCCAGCGCAACGAGGTGACTTCCTGGCTCGTTTTCTGTGCACACAGTGCTTTGGCATTGACATGTCCATTGTTCAGGAAATACTGTTTATGTATTTCAAGTTTGACATTTCATTCCACCGCTGCGATTTAGAGGGCATGCTAAGATTGGTCACTAGTTTACTCTTCTGCGGACTTGGTGTAGTCGTGCTTACTCAATCATATTAGTCATTCAGACTACTTACTTAGTTAATTACTTACAAGACAAGACACTGAAGATAAGACTGAAATGTTGGTAGGGGGGTTTCTCTGTCTGACGGTTGCTTAGTGTGAAGCAGACATGTTTTATTAAGTTGTTGCTTGCACTATGCCACACCATGTAGGCCCTGCTATCCAGCTGCCTCAGGAGGGTCGTTGGAAACTGACTTGTTATCACTTGTGTTAAGTTGAGTGGTCAGTGCCAAAGCCAACAAACCCCTGAAGCAGTTGACGACTTTGCTAGTTTGGAAAACTCCTTAAACTGCCGCTATGATGTTAATAACATTCAGCTGATTTTAGTCCGTGCGGGTCGTTGATTAACAGAATACATCAGGTCAGTGTAAAGTACCTTCTTCAAGTTGAGCCCATGTGAGATGTTGTCTGCTGTGAGGAAGGCAGAGACCAGATGAGTGACAGAGCCTGCTTCTCCACAGTGCGGACGAAACTGGAAGGTGCTCAGACCACGTTCCCTGCAGACCCCACAAGGTGAAAACTACATGCTCTCAACAACACAGATTATCCGACAAGATCCTGGAGGAATAAGCTCTTACTTTCTGAGATTGTTGAGGACCATGATGTTTGCATACATGTGAAAGACGTAGTAGCTGTATGGAGGGTTGTCATCTCCGGTCCACTGTTCTGGCTTTGGGCTCCTGAATGAGAACATGTGATCGCTGTGTTTGGACTCATCATCTACACTGTCAAACCCCGATACCTGTGGAGGGAAAACAAATGCGTCACAGGTGCAAATGATTATTTCCTTGTGGTGAGTGACAAGGGCTGCCTGAATACTGACTACAAAAGATCATGTTTTTTTATGTGTGTGACATGAGTGTGACTCCTTCAATATTTTTGGAAAACAAGAAAAAAACTCAATTTTTAGAACACACGTTGGTATTTTTTATTGGGTCTTTTTCCTTTTGCATACTTGTTCACCCATCGTGGATATCAATCCATCCATATTCCAATCCGCTTTATCCTCA